AACTGGTGTATGAACAAGTTGCACACATACTGTCGAGGAGGTTATCTTTAATTTATTTATAAGGGTCTGAATAGTTTTGGAATCTGGTGGGCCGTCATTCTGAAGCAGGTCCAAGATTATCTAAGTGAGCAAACAGAAATGCAATGTAATCAGGAAAAAAAAGAAGAAAACAAAGAATCTGAGTGTCCTGTTGCATGCATAAAAAAGAAAAATCACCCTCGCTCTTAAGCCGAGGATAAGTTGTGCAGTCTGCTTGAAACTCAGAAGCTCAGGAACAGTCTGCGTCACCATGGTCACAAACTCCTCTACTTTGCAGTAATGCTTCACGTTCTTCTGCCGTATGACCTGCCATATGTATGAATAGGTCAGCTGCAGCGGGGAGGCCAGCAGGCGGAGGGAGGGCAGCGGAAGGGCACCTCCTGCAGATGGAAGCAAGCATGAAAACAGTTAGTGCGGGTTAGATGTGCAATAATAAAACATTACACAATTCATGATTTAAAACCTCTGCTTTTTTCAGTCACCAAAAGATCTAATTAACATATATTTCAAGATACATTAATTATTGACATTCTTGACATTTGAGAAAACATTCAACCCAGTTTGATCCACAAATCATAAAGCAAAATGAGTCTGCTGAAGATTTATTTTCTGTCTTTGTGGTCTTTTGGCAGACTTAAGAGTTTAGATCTTAAGTCTGCCAAATCAGATCTTTAGTCTAGATCTGAAGGAGTTTAGAGTATGCATTAATCTGTTGCTTCTGTCATGGACTTAAATACCAAAACAATCAACAAATTAAGACAAAAGCATAATTCAATTGAATTCAGGTTTTGTTTATAAAGAGCCAATTCACAACATATGTCATCTCAAGGCACTTAATAATTAAACCAGATCATACAGTCATATTGATTCAGTTTCAGTTGATTGAGTTATCTATCTAAGGAAAACCAGATTGCATAGAACCATTGACTAGAAAGCAATCCCTCAAACCGAGCAGGGTAGTAGCGAGAGAAAAAAAAAACTCCCTTTTAGCAGGAAGAAACCTTCTGCAGAACCATAACTACTAATATATGATGTCAAATGTTGAAGCTCTCAGTAATAAACCCCCTGGACAGTCTCCTATTTAGTCAGGCAACAAGCAAAAACATTAAGGAGTGTGACCCACAAACAATGGCTATACGGGCTAGTCAAAGTCAAGGGCAGTATCAACTAGATTTGTGACAGAAATGAGCTTGAGCCACTCTGCAAAACATGAAGAAAATTATGTAAAACTGTGAGCATCCTCTACAGAAGATTTTTCAGTAAGAAGCTTCTCCAGATCCGGTGCAAGACAGACCAGCTACAGAAGATCCTTCCTGCCTAAAGCTATCAACACCTACAACACCTGTTTAAAAAAATGACGTATGAGATATTGCAACATTTAATTTCCCTTTGGGGTTAATTAAATAGTATTGACCTGAAAAGGAAATGGGAAACAATATGATTTAATATCTACAGAGACACAAACAAACGCTTACAGATCTAATTGCACAGGTAATGTAGTTTAAATAAATACCTAAAACCTGATTGCACAGGTCCTATGTTTTGGTCCATTTCGAGGTAAAATCCAGTGCTGCCGCAGGGGGGCGCTGCAGCAAGGAGCGCATGCTTTTCAGAGTGCAGACGGAGTTGTTTTTAGAAAAGTGCACGTCTGCGCGTGCCCGTGCAGTGATGGAGAGATTGAGCGCCAAGCAAGCTACTGTCAGACTTAAATTCAAACTTTACAATCGGATATCACTCCATTACCCCAATGTTTCATTAGTCGCTTCAGATAGCGTGACATATTGAGACGGACCGCGCATTCGGATGGCTTCATTTAGAAGATAAAAATCACAAAGCATTCACAGCTTGTTAATTACCCGACCTTCTTATTATACATCTGCCTTAAACGGAGTAAACGTATGTGTTTATGTTGGTGATAAGGAAGAAACAGACTCCTCGAAGCAAATGAAGCTTCGTCCAATTTCTTTTTTTATACCATTATCGACAGCAGCTACAGTTAGCTTAGCAACTTACCTGTTGTATTGGTCCGTCTGTCCATACTGGCCTATAAATGTGCGCCTGGCTCACCCAACTAAGCGAGACTCAAGGTAAACAAATAAACCAACAGATTATGCTTGAATATAATAGTTCAAAATATTTAACCGTCTTATCTCGGGCGTCAAGTCACGAAGAATAATGGCGGCCACCGAGTGCCAGCCTTCCAAAACAAAAGCCTGGCTACTTCCGCCGGAAGTTTCTGTATAAAATAAAAGCACCGACTTTAAATATGTTGCATTCGTTTCGGTTCTAACAAGATCAGCTCGACTAGGAGAATAAAAAATTACATTATAATACGGTTTGAATGTTTCTTTCAAACAATAAGAGAGCACACCTGACAAGGTCAACACTGTAAAATTTGTTTAAAGGTCAATAATGGGGTTTATATACAGTGGAAATATGATATATAGCATGAAAAATACACTTAATTCCCAATCCCCTATCTAAAACAAATGATCCATCCTTTATGTACAGTTTATAGTTCTGGGATTTTCTGTTTATAATCTTGTCTTTTTTTTTATATAATGTCATCCTTGCTTTCTGTAAATTTAAGTCTGGAGTTTCAATAATTTTATAGCAAATACTTGTTTTATTTTTGAAAATAAATTAAAATATGAAAGAATCAAGCATATTATTAATTTGTTTGTGAACTCTTTATTGTAGGCATGTCCAAAGTTGGTCCTTGAAGGCAGCTGTTCTGCAGGTTTTAGAGCTTTTCTGCTTCAGCAAAGCTGATTTCTATTGATAGAGGATCAACAGGCTTTTGTTGAAATGCAATAATCAGGACCAGCTGTTTTGAAGCAGAGAAACCTCTAAAACCTGCAGGACAGCGACCCTCGAGGACCCACTTTGGACATGCCTTCTTTATAGTCTTTTTTTTTGCCTGCGTTACTAAATGATCCTGCTATTTCATAATTCCTATTGTGAGATGCCTTGGTCAATGTCTGGGACCACTGTCTAATTTAGATCAGAGTTATAATATACATATTATCTAAAGTGGTAAATACTGTAACTATGTAAATAAGCCGGCACACTGAGCCTGCTTGGTTGCAACTGATACTGTTGACTGTAAGGTTCCTTTATCTGCTTGAATTAAGTGAACTTGAAAGTGACTAATCAAAAATTCTGTGATGTAATGTCTAAAAGAATATTTAATAAAATAAGTTATAGCTTAAAGCTATTGAACCTGGAGACATTGTCTTTTTTATACTTTGCTTTAATAGAGACTCATCCATTTATCCATCATGGATCAGAAATAAATAATGTAAATACTTCATAGACAACAGCATACAGGATATTTGATATTCTCAAATATATGTTACTGCCTGACATATTGATAGTTAATCTCAGTTCTGTTGTATTTCTCCATGAGTTATTTTACAAATATTTCCCAATAAGAATACAATGCCGCCAAGATGGGATTTAGAAAAAAAAAATATATTTTTATCTATTTTCACCCATTAACCCATAACATAAAATGAAGATAATCTTTTAATCATATGATAATATCTTCAAGTTTTACGTTGCATAACTTAAAAGGGCCTCTAAAGTCAGAATTCAAGTTGGAAAGTTTTTTTTTACCAATGTACCATGCAAACTCCTTTGGTGAATACATTTACAACAGTTTGTAAGAGTACAAATATTCAGACAAATGGATCATTAAAGCTTGTAATTCTAACAAAAGTTTGTTCTGTCATGAAACAAACTGATTAGGTGTTACTTTCAGTTTTTCAACACTGGGTCTTTTCTGCAAAAATAGCCTCTTGAGTTTGTTCCTGGTTTTAATTTATCCTGGGAGTTACAATCCTTTGGAGCATTCAAAGATAAATACATATTTAAACAGCTTATATTTTTAACGCATAGAACTTACTACGTTTAGATGGCATTTGATTTGTTTTCTAGTTTCCCTTTTGATGACGACAAAAACAAACATCAAAAAAATGCTTTATTATTTGAAAATCAAAATACATGTTTCAAGTTTTGGTTTATATTTGAAGTGTGTTGAACTAGGCACTAGGCCCATGTCAAAATTCTTACTCAAATGTTAAAATGCTACTTTCTACTTAACTTTCATAACCGTAAAATAAAACTTTTTCTTTTCCATGTACTAAACCCTGACCTATGATTTTATTCTGTGGTAGTGAAGTATTTATTTAATTTTGGCTATAATTGGTCGTAAAATAATGAAATGTCACATGAAAATTTAAATCTATAAATATCATTCCCTGAAAATGTTGTTTTGCTGCCTGTACACTAATAAAACATAATAGGCTGTAAATTAAACCAAATTAGCTCTGTCTGATGCTGTATTGCAAAATGCAATTTACTCAAACCATAGCACAGTTGTTACCAAAGTGGATTACAATTACATTTTTTGTGTCGTCTCAGCAAGTCATTTAGACTTGGCAAAGTTTTTACACTGGATGCCCTTTGTGGGGCTCCCAGGATTTGAACTCTGGTCATCTGCATTGCAGTGAAGCACAAACCACTTCACCATGGAGTTTTATACATGTAGATAAGTTATTGAGATCAAATAAAAAATGGGTGATGCATCGTTTAAATTATAACTACTCTATACCCAAAAGTACAAGGTATAAAATATCAAAGTGATGAAATCGTCATCTCGCTCCGTTGGCACAGGCTCAGTTTGGATTTTAGCTTAAAATGAATGTATTCCAAATCTGTCCTGCTTTAACTTCACTGTTTTCATTTACCTACAATTAAAATCAGTTTTAGAAGATTTTTGTTTTTTATCCCAGTGTTGCTTTGGATTGCATTTGTCTCAGAAGGAAAAGGTAATCAGGTTGCATTCTGTTGATTCAAATTATGTTTAACTGCAATTTAAGCATTCAAATACTTTTTGAAAATGTCAACTAACACGGGCTGGGTGATACATGATTCTGGGTTAGAAGAAAACACTGAAGGAAGAGCCAGTGATATTTTATTTAACATTTCGATCATATTTGATCCTGAACTTGGGCTTGCCTTCTTATCCCTGAAATTCAAACCTTGATCTGGATTTTCCCTTATCAACTTAGATTTAATTAAATGTAACATTGCCACCTAGTGGACAAGTACTAGTACTTCACATTCAACTTGAATCAATAATAAAAAAAAAAACAAATAAAAAAACAGATTATTTTCTGTAGCCAAAAGAAAGCCAAAGTCACACCAGTGTTACATGAACTGCAATATGAAAACCATGACTCTACAACATTTGGATTTTAATTAAGTCTGTTGTTGAAACTGTTGGAAACACTAGATGTTTTTTGAAGACATTCAAAAGTGTAACAAAATATCTTAAACATCACACACACAAATACACATAGAGTTACAAAATCAAAATGTTTGAATATCTTTGAAGATAGTAAAGGCTTTCTAGGTTTTTAACCTTATCCAAAACATTGCACTATGTAACAAACTACATGTTACTGGACTGTTACGGAAATAAATCCTGTGTATTTTTATTGAAATACCAACCAGTCCCTGGAGATTGGGCTATATAGCCTGCGGTCTGCAGAGATTCTTTGCCTGTTGATTCATAGAGATCTGTCGACATTGGTCATGTTTGTAACTGGCACTTCCTCCAGCCTACGGCCTGCTCTTTTGTGATGAGAACAATCCCTCCTTATGCTCCTCACTGAGCTCATCCGTTCATCTATTTGTCTGCCTCTATCTCCCTCACTTTGCCTTGCTGTGCCTGTCCTGTCTCTCGCTCCCGGACTCTGACACATAAAGTACAAGAGCACTCACACTCTAAGAGTCATGCTCTCATGACTGAAACTGATTGACTTCTTAACTGAGGCATTAAAAACCTCCCAACACACTCGCAGCGGCTGAGGAGCGGCAATAGTTCACTGTTCAACAGCTTCGAAGCACAATGACCAAATTCAAAGGGCCTCTGGCCATGGCTATCTGCCAGCTGCTCAGATCTTTGATTCAGAAAGTCAGGGATTTGTTGAACCAATTAGAGTGTTGTTTGTGACCAGTAGGTCCATAATTCCTGATGGATAACAGATCTCCGCAATGTCAACAACAAGTACAAGATAAGTTGTACCAGCCCCCATTTTTGTTGTTGTTATTACTTTTTACAGAATACTTTCCAAAGATGTCGGCATAGGAGCTATTTTGACTTCATGTGCAGCTATAGAGAAATGAAAAGATAATCACTTCAACATCAAGACTCTTCCAGTTTAAAATAACAGTGTCTGACTTGTGTGGCATTGTGCTGATGTGAAGCCTGCTGATAAGCTCCAAAATGAGACCCAACACCACCCTGAGAAACATTAAAGTGGCTTTTAACTTCTCCAAACCAACCGGCTAAGAGCTGCTGTTCACCAGTCAAGACACCTTCATGTTTTTACTTCAGTATCCAGTTTCGGAGCTGCTCTTGAGTCCTGTCTGGACCCAAGAGCAGGGGGGGAACTTTGCCAACACGCCTTTCCTTTACATGAGCTCTCTCTCATCCAGTTTCTCTGGTGCTTGAGCAAAAAAAGTGACAGACCACACTGATTTTTCCACGCTTTATCACGCTTCATCCACTCTCATGTTCAGAAACTGCCTCCCCCGTTGGCTGGCTGTCAGCGGCGTGGGTGACTGTTTGAAGTGGGATGGAGACAGACACAGTTGGGATCATATCAGGAGATGCGGTTTGGCTGTTTGAAGTGCTGCACGCCAGCAGCCTTCTCCTAGACTTCACCTATAGAAAACATTCAGAAAATTAACATAAAAAGATACAAGAAGCGCAAATGGCAGATGATCGTAAAAGTGGGCTCGATATTACCAGGGCTCCAAATACCACCTAAATATTTAATGAGCTGTCAAACTTACAAGCCTTGTCTTCCTGAAAAATGCTCTTTAAAATGTGGGCAGATAATCTCATGTGATTTGGTAGAAGTGGAGATGCAAACACATAAAATCTATGTGGGAGGAAATTCAGCGTCCGGAATTTCCTTTTAAAGAAAACTTTGAGGCTTTTAAAACCAAAAGGCAATTAACCGATTTTACTCTACGATCTGAGGTTAAACAGTTTGTTCCATGTAATCTGCCTTCAATTTACCTCGGAAGTTAAAAACAAATCTGAGAATAAAATTGCACTTAACATAACCATGTCTTCTTTATTTTGTACGTCCAAGTTTTAAAAGTATGCTCACAAATAGAGGTTATGCATTAATGAGTATGATCAAACTTATTATTACATTTCCCACTACATTTTTCATGCTGCACCAAAGACCTGATGCCCAAACACTGGATCTAGATAAGATGTTATTATTGCATAGTATCGATACTAAAGACAAATCTTTTTTTTTTTGCATATTTTTGCTGTTGATGATTTTAGATTTCTGGGTTTTTATTTTGCATATTTATTTAGCAAGAAAGCTTGTTCCATGGTTAGACTTTCTTTCATGCCTTTAATATTTTTGCCGATTTTAATCTCAGCCGTATTAAGAATGGTATCAAGTATCAAATATCTCTTTGATATGGATGTTGAATTTTTTTTTAGCATTTTAGCATAATGGAAAACCTGATTTAAAGCTGATATTTTAACCCTGAAACACTGTTTCGTAAACACCATCTATCTGCTGATCAATATGATGAAATAAACAAGTAATAATACCATATGGTATAATTACTACTTTGCTAACAGCAATTTTTTTATTGTAGACGAAATAAGATACTTTAAAGCATTTGAAAGCATTATAAAAAAACTAAAATTGTCATGGAACAAATACAAATAAAAATAAAAATCCAAACAAACTGCTGATTAAGGATCAGTAAAAGTCCTTATTTCTATTTCCAAGTTGCATTTTAAAATATACATATATGCTTTGAGGAATAGTTATAATCCCCTAAACATTAAATAGTTCTTCTTACCTGCCAAACTATCAGCACAACACAGGCTATGAACGGTATTATCACCAAAAGCAAGGGGCTTCTCTTTAACCAGCTGTGTTTACGACTCTTCTCCTGACCTTCTGCGAAAAGAGAATCATTGCAGCTGTAATGAAATATGCTTAGACACGAGAAATAAGATAGTGGGTAAGCATGACATCATGCTTATTGAACAACATTCAATCAATAACTGTATTTTTTTTTTTTTCCTTTGGGATTTTTCAAGTGTCTGCTTAAATAAAACTGTTTAGAAATCCAGATAAAACATGTACCTGGTGTTTGTTGATGATTAAGGCAAGGTGGTGGCTTGCATGATAAGGTTGATGTTCCATGCGTTGCAACATGTAAGAGGTCTTGGATGTAGTCAAAGTAAAGTCCAGAAAGTAAGCTCTTTTCTTGGTAGTGGCACTGGAAGACTTGCATTGCTGTTTCCTGGGGGGATCAGCCAAAAAAAAAAAAAAAACATCCTGAAATTGTTCACTAATGCAATTAAATGTGCAAAGCAATCCCTAAACCGTTGCTTTGTCTTGACTTCAGAGATGCCTCTCAGAATAAAAGTCATTTGAAATCTTTTTGACCTAATAAGTAAAACATCACATTTGCATTTAAAGGGCATGCAGTGCGTGAAGCTCCTTGTTACCCACCAGCTCTTCGTGTTCAAAGGTGAAGCGTAAACTCTTCAGCATTGCAATGAAGACAATTATGTTATCTTTGTTGGAAGACATGGAACCAAACATATTGGCCAGCTTTCGAAGACTTTGCTCCAAAGGATAGATATTTAGAACCACCCAGCACGTGCCGGCCTGTCATGCACGCAAACAATCAGAAAACCTTCTAAGTTATCATAAAATTCCTCTTTTCTCATCTGTTTGTTATACGTACCACATCTTTGGGAATATAACTAACAGGAATCTCATAATCAGAGGGGATATTCTGCTTCTGCAGTGGAATTAAAGAAAGAAAAGAAAAGCATTAGAGTCAATTCAGAAAGGTATGCTTTCTGTGTGTTATGAACAGCAAGATAATACTCTCACCAACACGGACAGCTTGTTCACATCATCAGTGATAGGCGTTCCAAATTTCCCAGAACAGAGATGGAAACTTGAAAAAAGACCCCAGAGGACACAAGTTGTGCTGATGATCTAAATCCAGAATATTGATACCAAAGATTATTGTCTCACCCCAGATTAGATGACATCAACATACATATATAGTTGGGTTGTATTTACAGTAGAAAGTGACTATCAGCTTGCACTGAAGATGATACCTTGTGGAGGGCAAGGGCTCTTTACCAGGGGTGCTATTCTTCCAGGGTTTTGAACAGTAGGAAAAAAAAATGTCTGCAGAAGTTTGCTTAGTGTTTGATCATTCAAACACCTATACAAACCTTTTTTTTTTTTTTACGTTTGAATTCTGTAATACTGAATTTAAAATCGTCTGATCTCATTGTTCTGCACTACTTTTAGGCTCCAAGAGAAACCTTTTTGTTGTAAACAAATTAAACTTGTTTTGATTTTTTTTCTTATCACCCAGTAAATTCTTCTGTTTGTTATACTATTCTATCAGATTCAGTTTTTTTCTTTTTATTATAATAGCATTTTAAAGAAAGCTGATTAGTTTGATCTTTACAGCTCCCGTGATGTCAGTAATCTGAATTAGACTTCATTTCCTATATTTAATGTACTTTTAAAACCTTTGTATTATTTAAAATCTTGACATCTGTATCCACTATTGCAAAAAAAAAAAAAAAATTGGTCTAAAGATTTAGATTCTTTTTTTTTAAACAAAGAATAATTAGCATTAGTAGCACCTGAAAGTGTAGAAATTCCAATATTTCTGTGGCTTTAACCGGTACCGAATCAACCCTTTTTTAAAGCTAATTGGCTTTCAAAACAATCATTAAGATATTTCATATTCATATATATGAAAAACTGGGGTGACAGTGGTGTTGGATACAAGAGTTTGCCCTGCAACCAGAGGGTTGTCAGTTCAAGCTCTGGTTTTCTTTGTTGTTGTGTCCTTGGGCAAGACACTTCACCCAAATGGACTACTAATGGTGGTCACAGGGCAGCCTGGCTTCTGTCAGTGAGTCAGCTGTGGGGCAGCTGTGGCCAGTGTAGCTTGCAACCGTAAGTGTGTGAGTGAATTGGTGAAAAACTGCAGTGTAAATATAAATGTGTCAAATATTAAATCCTTAAAAGGAGAATATTACAAACACAAGAAGCAGGGTATTTGGTTTTGTAAAGCTGTCAGATTAAGTCCTACATAAACTTTAACTTATTATTTTTGCAAAAAAGTTTTAAAATGTTAATAGGTTGAACTGATTACAGCTGATTCACATTGATTATTTGGTTGATTTCTTTTTATAGAACATAAAAGAATATTTGTAAAATTTTTAATTTAGCAAATCAAAGTATCAAAGTAGATATATAATCAGAATCATTATTTAGGATCCTATTTTTAAGTAACTTTCTTGAGAAAAAAATAACTGCAAACACAAATAAAATATTTACATTACTGCATGCAGCAACCATTAAGTCCTTAGAGTAGAAAATTATCTCCTGATGGGAGCATTTTGTATTATGACCATGTCTTGTTTTCCCTCTAGGAAGGGCATTTTCCTGCTGTGCTGTTAAAATATCTCACATTTCTATTACTTTGTCTGTATTTTTTTATTTAAAAAAGGTCGGTTTCTGCAAAACCATTAGTAGTTGAAACAGCTGTGTACGAATATAGAAGAGACTGTTATCTTATATGTTAAGCGCCCAGCATACAGTTAGACATTCTGTGCAAAATAGCATTTAAAATGTAAAGGATGTACTTACTTTCTTCCTCATATGGAGCAAAGGTTAAAGGTATCTTAACTCCAGCACATGAAATCCAGCCTTTTGTCTTTAAAAAGAGAACTTAGATCTCTGTGCATGTTTGCATGCATGTAGATGATGTTCAAATGTGTAGTGAAACCCGAGGATTGGCCAGCAGTCTGCTTTGACTTCAGACAAACTGGTGGGGTCTTTTGACGTGGGGGAGAGGCCGCCTACAAGCTGAGTCATTATGTCACGCTCTGACGCTGTCTGAGACTTTTCCATAAACTCCCACGTATCAATTTGGTCATCGGGAGAAGTGGGTGCTTGTTCTCCTGTAAGAATATTTCACTTGGACTATGTCAGGGTTATTCCCCAAGCTGTTGTTTGTAGAAGTGAGAACAGAATGATGAAGATTGCAGTAGATGTTCCTCCATGCTATTTCTTGCTTTATTTAATCATGTAAACTTTCATTTCATTTTTTTAGAGGATTTGTCTGTTCTATTTTTTGTGTGCATCTGCAAATGTTTTGCAGCATAACCTGCTCCTGATACTCCCCAGTAAGTGGACCCACGTAAAAGCCATTATCCATAATTGATTTCCATTATCAAATCAATAGCTGTCACAAGAGAGAGATTCAGGAAATGAGGAAAGCAAATGATAACCAAACTCTTTTATTTCCTGAGCACAGTATACTTTGTTTGCTCGCCCTCATGTCGGGGTTATCCCTGTGGGACAGTAGACGCTAATGTCAGGTTAATTATTCATTAATTAAGCTGTGCAGTAGATTAGCAGCCTTAGTCTTTGCTAATGGGTTTACAGAAATATCAGCTTCATTGATAATAATCAGAAGGACAGTTCAAAGGTTTGAAACAATTCAAAGTGCCAGTAATAAAATGTACCTTTTCACTTAAAGACAGCTTAATGCTGCAATAAGTTAGAAAAAAACCTGTAAAGTTCCCTTAGAAGTTATATGATTATCTTGATACTTTACAGTATTATAACTAGGGCTGAAACAATGAATCGGATAAATCATGATTAATCGATTTTTGAAATAATCTTTCACTAATTTATAATCAATTAATGTTAAACAACAGATTGTAAAACATGCCTTAAGCTGACAAAGCAACATAGTAAGAGCAGTAATTATACCAAGATTGCCCTTTTTTTTTTTTTTTTTTTATATTTTGCATTTAAGATAAAAATCTTTTTTTTTAACCATCAATGAGCTCTATCCAGAACTCAAGTGGAAAAGTTTTACACTGGAAAAACGATCTAAAAATAAGTAAAAATGTCTTAAATGAAGTGTATTTACCCTTAATTTGAGTAGGTAAATGAGATACTTTGCCAATGGAATTAGTATTTTTACTCTTAAAATAAGATAATTAGATAAATATGCACTTGAAATACAGGTGCTGGTCATAAAATTAGAATATCATGAAAAAGTAGATTGATTTCAGTAATTCCATTTAAAAAGTGAAACTTGTATATTATATTCATACATTACATACAAACTCATATATTTCAGATGTTTATTTTGTTTAATTTTGATGATTACAAATGACAACAAATGAAAATCTCAAATTCATCATATCAGAAAATTAGAATATTACTGAAGACCAATAAAAACAAAGGATTTATAGAAATGTTGGCCAACTGAAAAGTATGAACATGAAAAGTATGAGCATGTACAGCACTCAGTATTTAGTTGGGCCTCCTTAGGCCTGTATTACTGCAGCAATGCGGCGTGGCATGGAGTCGATCAGTCTGTGGCACTGCTCAGGTGTTATGATAGCCCAGGTTGCTCTAATAGTGGCTTTTAGCTCTTCTGAATTGTTGGGTCTGGTGTATTGCATCTTCTTCTTCACAATACCCCATAGATTTTCTATGGGGTTAAGGTCAGCAGAGTTTGCTGGCCAATTAAGAACAGGGATACCATGGTCCTTCAACCAGGTACTGGTAGCTTTGGCACTGTGTGCAGGTGCCAAGTCCTGTTGGAAAATGAAATCTGCATCTCCAAAAAGTTGGTCAGCTGCAGGAAGCATGAAGTGCTCTAAAACTTCCTGGTATGTGGCTGCGTTGACCCTGGACCTCAGAAAACACAATGGACCAACACCAGCAGATGACATGGCACCCCAAACCATCACTGACTGTGGAAACTTTACACTGGACTTCAAGCAACGTGGATGAAATGCCTCTCTTCTTTTCCTCCAGACTCTGGGACCTTGATTTCCAAAGGAAATGCAAAATTTACTTTCATCAGAGAACATGACTTTGGACCACTCACCAGCAGTCCAGTCCTGTTTCTCTTTAGCCCAGGCAAGACGCTTCTGACGCTGTCCGTGGTTCAAGAGTGGCTTGACACAAGGAATGCGACAGCAGAAACCCATGTCTTTCATACGTCTGTGTGTGGTGGTTCTTGAAGCACTCACTCCAGCTGCAGTCCACTCTTTGTGAATCTCCCCCACATTTTTGAATGGGTTTTGTTTCACAATCCTCTCCAGGGTGCGGTTATCTCTCTTGCTTGTACACTTTTTTCGACCACATCTTTTCCTTCCCTTCGCCTCTCTATTAATGTGCTTGGACACTGAGCTCTGTGAACAGCCAGCCTCTTTAGCGATGACCTTTTGTGTCTTGCCCTCCTTGTGCAAGGTGTCGATGGTCGTCTTTTGGACAACTGTCAAGTCAGCAGTCTTCCCCATGATTGTGTAGCCTATAGAACTAGACTGAAAGACCATTTAAAGGCTTTTGCAGGTGGTTTGAGTTAATTAGCTGATTAGAGTGTGGCACCAGGGGCCATCAATTTTGAACCTTTTCACAATATTCTAATTTTCTGATATGATGAATTTGAGATTTTCATTTGTTGTCATTTGTAATCATCAAAATTAAACAAAATAAACATCTGAAATATATGAGTTTGTATGTAATGTATGAATATAATATACAAGTTTCACTTTTTAAATGGAATTACTGAAATCAATCTACTTTTTCATGATATTCTAATTTTATGACCAGCACCTGTAAGACAATGTAATTGTGTTTTCTTATTTTAAGTGTTAATATTCTTGTTCTATTGGCAAAATGTCTCTTACCTCCTCAATCCAAGAACAAATGCACTAATTTTAAGAAAAATTACTTATCTAGATTTAGATTTTTTCCAGTGTAGTTTCACCTGGTTCAATTACGTAAAAAGTCTTCTTATTCAATTATTAATCGATAAATTGAAAAGATAATCGACAAATTAATCGATTTGCAAAATAATTGTTAGTTCCAGCCCTAATATACCTTATACTGTAATAGTGAAAATAAACAGTCCCCTCAATAAGGAGCACCTCTCGAATTAAGTATGGCTTCCAGTGTCTGGATGGCAGCAGGAGCTATAAGCATATGGCAAATGCAGTTTAATTCATTTTGGACATTAATGACTTTTTGTTCACATCTGATAACATTTTTTAGCAGTAAGTTAATTAAGTTGACTTTTATGCTGGAGAACATCATTATAAAAGGTGACAGAAATAAAGTTGCAGAATTTGGCTGAAAATCCAGTATTATTACAGCAGCATAACTAGATGCTACAGGCTGTCAAAAAGCATCACAAGAATGCTTTAAGGGTTCTCAGGATGTTTTTTCCCATGTTGTAAATGAAAGAGAGAAAATGATGAAAATGTTTAATAAATACCTGCAAAAATAGAGCATTTTTCCTGTAACTAAAGTGTTACCTAAATTATAACTATATATATCCTTAAGTATTATTTATTTAGAATGATATGAATAAAATTCCTAAAACAGACAAACTTGTTTTTTCACTGCAGCACAGTGACCCACTATTGGACGTTTCCAGACTTCCTTTAAGAGTCCTAAGATTATATAAATATTTTCAAAGGATGTTGCTTTCCCACTGGCGATTATTAATCACATCAACAAAGAGTCTGCCAGCTATAAGCAATGCTGCCGGTGTTTTATTAGGTATACCGGGGAATCTACCTTATGGAAAATCATATTAATGTTCGTTTGATTTAGATCACAATGAAAAATACTATTTGAACAAATTCCCAAAGCATGTCGAGGAAAAAGTTGAATTTTGCACAACTTTATATGGAAAGAGATAAAAGTAGTTTAGCTTACAATAAAGAATAACCCTCTTAAGCCAGAATGATCTCAAGTGGTTGAATCCTTGTCTGGTTTGGGGGAATTCACTCTCTGGAATTTTATCTAAATATTGAGTTTTAAGGTGAGTAGTCATAACAAGGCCTTAGCTAATCAGTTAATAATTAGTCAAGAACTATTTTATGGTAGCGGGTTAAAAATAAATAGTTTAAATGAAAAAAAAAACTTCTTAAAATGTCAGAGAGATATGTTTTAGTTCCAGTAATAAATCCCTTTAATCAAATTAACTGCCTCATGACTGAGGCTGTTTTGACATTCAACTTTTTTAGCCATGTAATCATTCCTCTGAGTGAATAGACGGGTTCACTTTTAATTCTGAAATGCATGGGTAATAAGGATTTATCTGACATCTTACCTTAATAAAATTATCACTAGTGTGATTGGAGTGAACCAGACTGAGACTCAGAAGAAGTTAACATGTTTTATTAATTGATTAATTGATTGAGAATCGTTGACCCTTTTAGTTTGTTGTTGTCATGATTGTTACAATAAGGCTCCAAGAAACTGCTGCCTTAGTGAGATGACAGCTTGGCTAAATTACTACCTCAAACAAAAATAACAATGATAACTAATTTTACATTTTCTCTTGCTTTTTTTTTTTTAGCCAGTGAAGGTTAAGCTGTGTGTGCACCACAATATCACAGCTGAAAAAGAAGGTGAACTAATGACTATAAACACAATATTTCATGCCAGCTTTACCAGCTGGAGACACGTCTATACTAGTAAGGTGGGAAGAATAAGAAAAAAAGAAAAGCAGCAAATTCAGGGGAGAGAAGAGAGGCATTAGTGTGTCCTGACAACAGAAAAACAAAATGTGTTGTCTTAACATTCCCTGTACAAGGTCTATGTAGTCTCACAGGCTTAAACATGTCAGTTTGTACCTGGTTATATGGATGCTGCAACTGGGTACGGGTCTCTTTAAACTTCCCTAACCTGACTTCAAATAGACTGGGGCTTTAAACACAATTTCTTGTCTTAATGTTAAATTACAGTAGCCTGCTGTGTAAAAGCAAATAGAAAAATGATTGCAAAACAAAACTAAGACTA